TCTCCTCCTCATCCTCCTCCTCCGCCTTCTCCTCCTTTTCTTTATGCTCCTCCTCCTCCTCCTCCTCCTCGTCCTCTTCGTCCTCCTCTTCATTCCTCCTCCTCCCCTTCCTCCTCCTCTTCCTCCTCCTCCCCATCGGCGGCGGCGGCGGCGTGTCATTGATACTCTGGATCGCTTAGTAATCGCCCTTCCCTTGGAGTGTCAGGTGGGGTTGGCCGCGGCGCGTCCGCGGGGGTGCCAGGGGGGGGTCTGGGGTTCGTTTCCTTCCCCGCTGGGGCGCGGGGGTTGGTGCCGGGGGGGGGTTGGCCGCGCCGCGTTTTCACGTTTGTCACCCCCCAGTTGATTTATAAGAAGCTCGGAGTACGGCTGCTGTTCCTTTATTGCCCCTTCCCATCCCACAGCTCGCCTTCCTCAGCCAGTTATGGCTCCATGTTTTGTACGTAGCCGCCTGGGCTCCAGAGTTTCGGGCTGGCGCAGGCGAAGCGCGCCGTTGCACAAGGTCCAGTCTCACTGCACAGACGTGCGTGCTTCGCTTGCGCCGCGTCCGCGCCGTCCGTGGCGGGCCAGAGAGGGCGGGAGTTCCACGCGCGCAGGTGCAACAGCATGGAATGTACGGCGTTGTCCGTAGACCCGCTAATGGCAATGTAGGTAACGGCGATGTAGGTTGCGGCATTGTAGGTGGGATTGGTTCGTGGCCAAACCAAAGGTAGGACATGGTGATTCGTGTTTTCCTACGACTCGCTGCGTCGCCTTCGCTCGGTGCATTCGCACATCTGGCATGCAGGAAAGTGCGGCTCGTGATTTCCCTCCGCTTGTTCTGCGCGAGCTCGGTGTCACACAAAAACATCAAATTCCCAACATCGCCGCTAACCAACATCGCCGCCAGCGCGGCCCTGGGCACTGAGATCCGTGACCTGGGGGTCGCGACCACCGCGGGCAGGGCCAGGCGTTGCGCAGTCACCGCGGCGCGCTTGCGCGGGGCCTCCATGCGGTTTGCCCGCTTCGGCCGCCTGCCGCTCAGCTTCAGAGGCCGCTGTTTGTTGGGCGCCGCCGCTGGCACAGCCGCGGGCCTTTACGGCGCCGCGTGCGGACGGCCGCCGGCCTGCGAGCTCGCCGGCTTGCGTGCGGCGGCGAAGAAGCCCGTTTGCCGCGGTGGATTGCGGGCGTCCGCGGAGATCGTCTTCGGCGTTTTCGCGCCGACTTGGCGTCTTGATCCGCTGGGCGTGACGGTGACCGCCCTTTTATGGCAAGCTGCGAAAGCGCTCCGTCGGAGGCGTTCCCCGACAGACTTGTGGCGCGAGGCCGCAGGCGCGATGGTTGCTGGGCACGGCCGGCGTTGCGGCCCGATCGCAGCCGCCCTCCGCAGTTTGGCTGAATTGCAGATGGGGGCCGACCTCGAAGCCTGGAGTGGCATCCCAGAGGCCCCCGACGGCTGGCGTTCAGCCGCCCGCGCCCTCCGGGACACTCGCGCAGTCCTGCTGGAGGCCTGGGGGCGGCGGGAAGCCCGCGAAGTCGCCAGGCGCCGGGCCGACTATAAGCACCGCGCGGGAGGCGCGGATCGCTGGGCGACTCGCTGGCTCTTGGAGACAGGGCAGCTAGCGCCCGTCTCTGCTGGCGCCTTGCGGACGGCGGAGTCTGTAGCAGCCAAGTGGGAGGGGCCGCAGGCGTGCCCCCATTGCGGGGCCGCAGCCGAGGATCTCGAACACAGGCTGTGGGCGTGCCCGCGATGGCAAGCGACGCGCCACGCGGCTTTCGCGACGACCGGCTTCACCCCAGCCGTTGCGCGCGCTTGCTTGCCAGCCGAAACAGCGAGGACAGCGGTGCCCCCCCTGGACGCCTGCCTGGCCGCGCTCGCCGCCGTGGCCCAGCAGGCGCCCCCCTTGCCGCCGCTTCCTGACCCCGCCGCGGAGGAGCTGCCGCACGGGCGGGTCCGCGCCTGGATCGACGTTTCTTGCCTGCACCCAGGGGACCCCCTGCTCGCCCGCGCGGGACGGGGCGCGAGGTTGCAGGGGCTTCCCGTCGGGCGCATCGACCGCCACGGTCAGGCTGACGGGCGGCAGACCGCGCAGCGTGCCGAGCTGTGGACCGCGGTGCAGGCGTGCAGCCTTGCAGGGGCCCCCTTCGACGTCGTCACGGATTCCCGATTCGTGAGTCGCGGGGTCGCCGCGCTTCGGGGCAGCGCGATGGCGACGAACTGGCCGCACGCTGACCTTTGGGAAGCAATCGCGCCGCACTGCCGCAGCGGGCTGCTGCGGGCCCGCTGGGTCAAGGGCCACTTGGACCAGGCGGAAGCCGCCGCTCGCGGCATCGCCGAAGCGGACTGGGCTGGCAACGCAGTTGCGGACAGGCTCGCCGACGCAGGGGCGCGGGCCCTGCCCCCGCCCCTCGACTTGCGCCATCAGCGGGCGCAGCAGCTGGACGCGCTCGAAGCGATCCAGCGCGCAGCGGCGGCGGTAGAACTGGCCGCTGTCAAAGCGAACCACGGCCCCTGCCCAGGCGGGCCTAGGGCGCGGCGACGCTGGGCCGCGCCAGGGGCCAAAGCACCGCCAGAGGCGCGCTTCCCGCGTCGGGGGCGCAGCCGCCGTGGCTGCGGCCGGGGCGCCGCCGCCGCAGCGCGGGATGGTTGCACCCCCAGCGTCCGCGGCGGCGCAGCCGCGGTGGTGCGGAACCTCTTCGCAGGCCGCGCCTGGCTGGCGCACGCGGCGCCCCAGGGCGCCGACGTGGCCGCTGCTGGCTTGCCGCCCGTGCGGAGGGCGGTTTCCCGCGTCGCCGCCGCGCGCGGGCATGCTGCTGTTGCTGCCAGCAGCGCGCGCTGGCGGCAACGAGGCGGCCTGGCGCGCCGCCCTCAGGGGCCGGCTGGCCGCGCGCCCCGGCCCGCCTGACTGAGGCGGGCGGCGCCGGGCGGGCGCGGGCGCTGCTCCCTCGCCCCCCCCCTTTCCCTCCTCTCGTCGTCGTCGCCCTGGTCGCCCCCCTCTCACCGCTGGGTTCCGCTGCGATGGTGTATGTGTATATATATATATATATATATATGGAGACACCCCCCCAGCACTCCGTCCCCATAGTTTTTCTGGTATTCTTCATGCATATATCGCCCTGTATGTCTGTATCCAAGAGTTACAATTTGAATCTTGTACGAATTCAATAGCACAGAGCAGTTTCCAGACCCGGGAGATTTCAATTATATTTGAATGAGAATCAAATGAAGATTCAAGCGGACTGGAGCAGATCCCAGCCCCAGAGGATTCTGATTTGAATTGAATATGAACCAAACAAGAATTCAATCGGACTGGAGCAGACTCCAGATCCCGAGGATTTCAATTGGATTCGATTAGATTCCAAATAGGACTTTCAAAGAAATTGCCCAAACCCCAGTTCCAATGGATTTCAATTAGATTTCAATAAGAATCAAATAAGGATTTGTTCGGACTGGAGCAGATCCCAGATCCAGAGGATTTTAATTGTAATTGAATAGGAACCAAACAATAATTCAATCGGACTGGAGCAGACTCCAGATCCAGAGGGTTTCAATTGGATTCGATGAGATTTCAAGAAGGAATTGCAAAGAAATGGCCCAGACCCCAGTTCCGATAGATTTCAATTGGGTTTCAATAAGAATCAAGTAAGGATTCAATCGGACTGGAGCAGATCCCAGTTCCAAAGGATTTTGATTAGAATTGAATAGGAACCAAACAAACATTCAATCGGACTGGACTGGAGCGGGCTCCAGATCCAGATGTTTTTTTAAATTGGATTTGATTCAAATAAGAATTTCAAGGAGATTGACCAGTTCCCAGGTCCAATGGATTCCAATTTGGCTCAGGAAGTCAAGAGTGCAGCTTTCCCTTATGAAAACAAAAGGCTGTTGCATCCAAAACCAATTTTCCATGTGAAAACACAAGGTTTTTGCATCCAAAACTAATTTTCCATTTGGAAACACAATGTTTTGGCATTCAAAACCAATTTTTACATGTGAAAACACAATGTTTTTGCGTCCAGAATCAATTTTCTTTGTAAAAGCAAAATGTTTTTGCATTCAAAATCATTTTTTCATCGTGCAAACAAAATGTTGTTTGCATCCCAAACCAACTTTGCCTGTGAAAACGCAATGTTGAGCTCGGGTATTGCGAAACCTTGGCAGGTTTTGTCTTGCTTTGTTTTTTGTTTATGATGTCGCGAAACCTTGGCAGGTTCTGTCTTTTTTTGTTGTTTTTGCCAGCGAAAATTCGGGACCGCCGCCAGCTCAGTCTGACTGGCAAAATTCCGCTTGGCCAAAAAAAAAAAACCTGCCAGGGTTTCGTGACATCATAAACAAAAATGCGAACATTTCGTAATATCCGAGCACAAAAACATTGCGTTGTCACATGCAAAGTTGGTTTTTGATATAAAAAACATTGTGTTTTCAAAGTGAAAGCTGGTTTTGAATACAAATACATTGTATTTTTGAAAAAAAAAAAAATATGCTGGATGCAAACACATTTTGCGTTTTCGCATGTAAAATTGCTTTTTAAAATCAAAAACATTATGTTTTCACAAAGAAAATTGATTTGGGATTTAAAAAACAATGTGTTTTCACGTGGAAAATTGGTTTTGGATGCGCAAACATTGTGTTTTCATATTGAAAATTGGTTTGGGACGCAAAAACGCTGTGTTCTCGCATGGGAAGATTTGTTGTGGACGCAAAAAATTACGCCTTCATAAAGAAAATTTGTTTTGAAAGCAAAATCATTGTGTTGTCATATGGAAATTTGATCTTGGAAACAAAAGCAGCGTGTGTTCACAAGGAAAATGGGTCTTGTATGCCAAATCATTGCGTTTTCAGATGGACAAATAATCTTATTGTAATCTGTACCATAGGAACTTGTTGAACTCCATGTTGGATCCACGCGGCAGAAAGTACAGGTTGTGAGCTCCTGTTTGATCCGCGAACAAAAATGATGTCGAACTCGCGAACTTCATTCCTGAGTGTTGCCGCTAGTGCCTACATTCGCTTAAGCTGTCTTCTAGCTCGGCACGCGCTCGGCCTTGAAACGGCAACCTCCAGCGCGCTGAAAACGCATTGCACTACAGACAGTGTAGACAGCGACGCGCGATCATAATGCAATGTTGCTTGGGATAGCAACAGCGAGCGGGCTGAGTCAGAGCGCGCGGGGCCCGATCAGACGCAGTGATCCCTGGAGAAACATCCTGTAACATGTTCCCAGTCTCTGACCACAGATCGCAACCGCGGTGCCACTGGCACCACTGGAAAGACCGAATCTCGTGCGTCAGCGCTCTGGAGCCCGCCTGCTTCTGCTTGCCAATGAAGGTGCGCAGGCGCCCCCAGATGCCATCGATGATCTGCGTCCCGCTACGCACCCAGAGCTTCTTTGTCTTCTTCGGGTCGCCCTCGCCAGGCACATTGCGATACCGCGTCTTCACGTAGGCGGGTTTCAGCCAGACCCATTTGCCTGCGAGCTTGAAGAGCCGACGCAGACACCAAACATTGTTTTTTCATACACAGAGTGATGGTTTGGTGCTCGCGCCGTCTTTTCAAACCGCGGTTGCCTCTCACGCGAATCTTCTTCTTCATGTGCACAACCCAATCGTGCTTCGCGCCGTCGACCTTCACGCGGTAGGACTTCGCGCCGTCCGCGTGCAGGACCACCGCGCGGTTCTTGAGCCACTTCTCTGCCAGCGGCGCCCAATCGCGCTTGCGGATTGGACCTGGCCCTGGCGCCCTCCGCTTCGCGCGCTCTGGCTTGAGCTTGAACAGGGCCAACGACTTGGGCGCGCCGCGCTGCGCGATGCCGCCCCACTGGTCCCACTGGATTGGCTTCGCCGCGTGCGGGCCAGCATTCGGACTTCGGTCTTCGCGAGGTCGACCTCGTCCGCCTCGACGTCCGCCCAGTTCACCGGCTTGCCGAATTTGATCTTCTTCTCATAGATGGAAACGTTCTTGGCGCGGGCGGCGCGCAGTGAACTATAAATCCGCTGCGTAGTTTTGCGGTTGTGCTTCAGCAGCTTCCTGGCCTGGTTTTGGCTGCATCCAGACACAGCAACGAAGAGGATGGGCGCCTGGCCCGTCGAGCTCACGCGAGACTGACCTGTCCCCACCGCGAAGATCGGGTGGAACGCGTGGGGGACCACGTGCCGACGGCACGCGTCATGGCCGCGCCGATGAGCCCAACCTCCGTTCTTCGGCAGATACTTCTTGAGCGGGCCAAGCGTCCCGACGTGGCAGCGCGGGCACGTCTCGCCGCTCCATTCCGGCAGGATGCCGTCTTTCTTCAAGGGGCCGATGACGGTTCTCGCGGGGCGGTTCAGCAGGTCACTGAGTGAACGGCGCCAGTTTGCCTTATCGTTGCGGGATGCAGCGGTCGGCACCCCGTGGCGGACATATGGAACATTCGCGGGGCGGCGAATCTTCCTCCCACAGATGCGCTGCATGGCGTTGGCCGCGGTGGTCTTCATGGCGCGCTTCCTGGTTGCCGCGCGGGCTTTCCCGCGCTTATGCGGCGGGAAGCCTTCCCCCATGGCGGCGGCGTCGGGCCGCGGCCCCGCGGGCGCGGGGGCGGGGCGCAGCGCCGAGAGCCGACACGTAGTGGCGCGCCACTCGCTAACACGATGCTCGGCCGCTGGGTCTACGAAGCGGAGCGGCCGACCGAGAACCCGCGCGCTGAACAGATACTGGCGGAGAGCAACTACGATAATTGTTGCTCAGCGCCAAAAATAACACAATGCCTCGGGGGGGCCAGTTGAATTGCAGCGGCATTCCAGTCGCTCTCGATTGGGTTACAACGACGACCTGGCAACCAATGAGAAGGCGGCGGGGGAGGGAGGGGGGACGGGGATGAGCGGGGGGAGAGAGGGATGACGGAGGCAGGGATGAGCGGCGACAGCGTGGGCGAATGATCTAGACACCGACATGATATATCGCATGGCGTCGCCCCCTTCCGCCATCGGACTTGGGGTGGAGTCGGAGCTAGCACGGGGCGCGCGAAAGGATCGAGGCACCGACCGATGGCAGGACGGCACTGAGGGGAACGATTGGGGGCGGGCAGCGAGCGCAAGACGGCGCAGACCATGCGCGATGGCGCGCTTGATTGGGCGGGGCCGAACTAGCAATGGACACTGGCAGTGCGCGATGGCGCAGCAGTTTGCGAGATGCGCGGGCGTGCGATTGAGGCGCCAGAAAGGTCGCAAGTAGACATGTTGCTGGTAGATGCAGATGAGCGGAAGGAGTGGGTTTAGTATCTGACAGAAGCGCAAACCAGATACACGGCGACGCGCAACCACTAGCCTGCACCATGTTCTCGTCCACAAATGCGACGCGCGCTGTCGGCGCGCGACTACCCGATGGCCCGACTTTCGCTCGAGCTTTCTTCTAGCTCGGCATGCGCTCGGCTGCTCCGTCGGTGAAATGATTCAATGGGAACGCGACATGGCAGGGAAAAGAGAGGGGGGGAGAGAGAGAGAGAGAGAGAGAGAGAGAGAGAGAGAGAGAGAGAGAACAAACAAAAAAAAAATGAGAGATAGAGATAGAGAGAGAGAGAGCAGAGAGAGGGAAATATATGGCGAGAGAGAGAGAGAGAGAGGGAGACAGAGATATATCATAACGTCAAGCGGTCAGCCCCGACGCCGAGGCGCATCGGCCTGGCGCGGGGGGCGCAGCGCATCCAGTGGCATCCTCGCGAGCCATTCCCTGAGCAGCTCGTTCTCCTGGCTGACCTCCTCCACCTCCTCGCGCAGCGACGCGGCCCGCTCGCCGATGAACCTGCGACTACCAACCAAACCGCCCTCCCCGCACAAGTAGCCCCGCATTCCCTCTCGGATTGCGAGCGCATGGGTTTGAGCGGGGCGGCGAGTTGGTTGGTAGCGAACCTCCGCGACGCCAGCAACGCCGCGGTCTTGAACTCCAAGCGCACCACGTCGTGCTCGACGGGCACGTCCGGGTTGAAGCCGAGACCGTGGACCAGGGTGCCGCGGAGCCAATGACCTAGATCACGCGGCAGCACCTGCGGGCGCGGACAGATTAAGAGAAATGAGTGATTGCCGCTCGTGACAGCAACAAACGTCAGCTAATACTACTAACGGCTTTTATAAGCTAGTATCCCTGAGCGCCGCGTCATTGTCCGCGGGGTCAATGACCGGGTGCGGCGCGAACGGCGCGCCCGCAGACGTCTTGCGGAAGTCCCAGATACGTCCCACGACGTCCGCGGAGACCTAGCAAACGCTCATCGTCGCATCGCCAGCCATTTTCCTCGAAGGGCCCAGGTCGACGAAGGAACGTGAATCGATCGAATCGCTGACGACGCCCAGAGGACATCCCATGGCGAGATCTGGCGGTATCAAAGCCGCCGACCATGGAGGACCCGCCGCTTGCAAGCGCAATCATCAACTGGTTCTGCAGGAACCGCTCGCGTCCTCAGGCGCACGCGGTGCGAAGGAGCACAATGCGCGCCTGTGCCGGCCTTGCGCAGGCCGACCCAGATGCTCTAACCTGCCCGTGGTCTATGGGGGGGAGGGGGAGAAGGGGGCGAGGAAGGGATGGGTGGAGCAGGGCTCAGGAGCGTCATTGCCTTCACGGAAGTAGAGGACACTTCCAAAAATGCACCCCGATTTATTATTCGGATAGAAGCGTGTGTTTGCTTTGCCATGTCCGATCGTCTTCAAGAGCGCCAAGTAGTCGACGCCCTGTTCAATCTGCACCTGCAGGAGCTGCGCCTGCTGCAGCATCTGCGGCACCACGGCCGCCGCGGCTGCCATGTCGGCGCGTTGCGGGCGGCGGGCGACAGGGGCCTGGACGTCGCCTTTAGCCAGATGCGGCTGGGGGAGGGGCCCCGTGAAGTGATGCCCCAGAGCTGCCGCTACGAATGCTTGACCCTTGGGCGCGACATGAAACCGCTGGGCGAGGATGCAAAGGTGCGGCCCAATATGCTTTTCGATCCGTCCATGGGTTGGGCTCGCGGCTTTTCCTGCTCGGTGATATGACCCTGCTGTCGTTGCATGATAGCATATGGAGTGTAGTCGGAACTGGGCGGCCCTGGCACCCGAGAGGGCGCGAGGCCATGCCGATTGCATTCATGGCCCTGGACAGAAGAATCAACTGAAAGGCACTCGCTGTGTGAGACGCAGCGCAGACAGGACGCCAGAGCGCCCTTGATTTAGCAGAGTCGACCTACCACCAGTCATGACTGCACGCGATTGCGTGGCGGTGGTGCGACGACTGGTTTCACTGGCCATGCGCTGCGCGACGATAAGCCTCGGAAACAATCGAGCACGTGGATATGCCGCGTCATCTGGCGGCGCCAATCTCAGCGACGGCATGCTGCTATGACACTGGTAATGTGATGAATGGAATGTGTGATGGCGCGGTGGCGGCGGGCAGCCTGGGCTCGCATGCGCTGCGAGGAGCGCGGGTTCCACGGCCCGCTTGCATTTTTATTTGTTCAAACCGCTGGTTGGAGAAACGCGCAGTCGAGAGCGCCCCTGGCAAAATCATCGCGCAGCGCGGGCGCACTAGCAACGTCTACCATGCACTGCTGAACGCGGGCGCCACGTCGACGCGACCGCACGGCGACGCCGTTCTTCCCAGACAGCACGCGCGATGAGCGGAATCAAAGCCCGATCACCCCATGGACCTACTTTCGCTCGAGCTCTCTTCTAGCTCGGCATGCGCTCGGTCGCTGAGTCGGTGAACAAATGAACTGGACACACTGCCTGAGAAAGGCAACAAGAGGGAGAGAGGAAGAGTGAGGGACGGAGCGGCATGGAGAAATTCAGAGAAATATAGAAGGAGAGAAAGAGGGAGAGAGAGAGAGAGAGAGAGAGAGAGAGAGGAGAGAGAGAGAGAGATATATAGACAACATGCAAATGATGCGTGTCACTCAGCGGCGCGGCGCCCGATGGCCGAACGTCGGGCCGACGCGCATGCGGTGGTTCGGCTGCACGCCCTCCGCCTCGGTTGAGCGAATTCCGAGGCTGACTCGCCGATCGGGTACCTAGTACCGCGGCGATTTTGTATGCTGACGGGCAGATCGAATATCGACTGAAAAATCAGCATGCCGACGATTCACTACCAACCGCGGTCTGATCCATCTGCCTGTGTCCTGCGATGATCGGTTGTCACCGACGAAGCCAGATCAGCGACGTCGGCGGCCCGAGGCGCCCGCGTCGAAGACAATGGAGCGATGGCGGGGCAGGCCAAGAGATGCCTGCACGACCCTCTCCATGTGGGCCCAGGTCGTCGACCACGGAATGTCTGCATGCTCGAACCAGTTCGGCACGTCGTGGGACCCCATCGCCACGACGCAGGTGCGATCCTGAGTGTTCGCATCAACGCACCATCGCATCGACCCTCTTCCCTTCCACACCCAACAACATTCGGCAATCGGAAAAGCGATCAGAGCGATCGCGCGACCTGTTGGACTATCGATCGAACACTGAACGCCCGAATCGTTGGAGCAGGGGCGCGGGCGCGATCGTTGTGTGTCTGGCAAACCACGAACACCTCGAGGCACATGTACGGGCGGACGATCATCGGGCGCTGCCCAGGCTCGGTCGAAAGCCACACTGGGCCAGCGAAACCCGGCGCATTGAACTCGAAGGCAGTCATGCGGTACTCGTAGAACATGGGCCACGCGCGCACGAGGAAGCGGTCCTGTAGAGAGGCAAAGCGGAAGGCGACATAATATGTTTCAGTTGTTTTCTAAAGGCGCCAGTGCCACCCATGCTTTGATTTACCAGGAACGAGGCAGAGAAGCGGGCAATGGACAATTTATGCATTGTATGGCTTCTGTTCTCGCCAGCCAGCAGGCGCTGAGACTGGGAGTGGCTGACATTGCGCCAGGCGCCATCTGCTGGCACGACAGCGCCAGGAGCGACGTCCTGCAGGAACGCGCACTCGAACGCCATCGACGCGGGCGACGGTCTGGGACGATCAGCGCTGCAAGCAACGGCTCGGCCCCAACAGCTGCGGCACGCGGCAGCTCGGTTTGAAGCGGGGGCAAGCAGCCAACCACTCGGCGGGCCACGCGCGGGGCACAGCGGCGCGACGAAACACGATGGTCAATGAAAGAATGCTTTTTGTTCAACGAGCCATGGCGTTATGCTCGCTCTCGCAAATGATCTCATGCCCCTCAGCCACGCGGCGGCTGTGCTGATAGCGCGCGAGCGCGCGAATGGCAGTGGCGAGTACACAGGCGCCGCGCAGCGGCAGCAGGCTCACTTTCGCATGGGCTCTCTACTAGCCCCGCCTTCGCCGAGCCCAAGCTGCCGATCAGTGCTGCAATCGACGCCGCGCGCGCTGCGCGCGGGCTTCAACTTCCCGTCACGCGCGGCAGATGCGTTGTATGTAATAGAGAAAAACAACGCCAGCGCAGGCCTACTTTCGCGTGGGCTTTCATATAGCCCCGCATGCGCTCAGCCCGCTGCCAGCGCCCCCCCCCCCCCCGAAACGGAAGAATGCCAAT